TATATATATATATATATATATATATATATATATATATAACTTCGTAGTATTATAATTTTATACTATAACTTTAAAAAAATCTTGATATTCAATTTTGTGAAAGAATTTAGCTTACGTACATGATTATATCTAAAAATTACTCGGGAATAAACACGATCAAATAAGAATGTTTGAGATTAGAAAACTGTATTAAGACATAATTATATAATTATATAAATCTATCACCGCATAATATGACATAAGATATAATTATATAAACCAATCACCGCATAATATGACATAAGACATAATTACATAAACCAATCACCGCATAATACATAAAGCAAAAATCACCGCATGTAAAATCATATGTAAAATCACTGCATAATATATCATAAAATATCATGATTTATTAGAAAAATCCAGATATTGCTTTGACTTTTCTTGCAACTTCGCTAATGTCTCTGGTCCAAAGTTTGACGCCGTTTGAAGTATTTTATAAAATAATAAATTGACAATTCTTTTTATGATTGAAAATTTAGCTGCATGATTGAAGAAAAATCTGGAATTACAATAACATTAGTTACAAAATGTGCAGTATAAAAATACTCTCTCATTTGCATCTGTTAAATAAGTACTTATATCAGGAAATCAATGTCGCGTCATTAAATCAAATAGTGTTATAATGTGAAAAATATGTATTACATACTTGTAAATGTTATAAGCGATCCACTCTCCATACTTGAGTGATGCATACAAGTTGGGCATCTCAAGATTTAAAGATTCTGCCAAAAGCAGAGTCATTATCTTATGAGTCATATACAGATAAGGATAATAATTTATAGATTCGGTGATATTTCTGATTATGTACATCCATTCGGATGTGATGTCTGTAAAATTAATCTTTATCCAATGTTGATCTAAATCACATAGGCGTTGCTTTATTTCCTTGAAGCTGCCACGGAAAAAATTGTACCTAGCGGAATACATTTGACAGAATGTATTTCGTTCAGAAATGCAAGAGACGTCTAAAG